GCCACTCTCTCCTGCTGGGCATCCCCACTGGGGCAGACCTGCTGGCCAGTTAGGCGCCAGCGGAGGAACCAAATAATGACTAGACCAGAGACGACAGGCACTATCATTTTCCATTTTAATTTACAAGGACAAGGGTTGCCAAGAGCAAAAAGAAGAGTCATGTCTTCTCCTTTAGCACGAGATGGTGAAGGGGCAAGTGTGGAGCCTACGACATGTATCAGAAGCAGCCTCTGCCCCTGCTCCTTTGCTGTCTCCTTGTCCCAACCACACTCATAAACCAGGGAGGTCTAAAAGCTCACTCCTGCCCTGTGAGCTCCCCAAGGCATGGGGATTTTCTGAGGCCGCGCTCCTCAGAAGAAGGGGGAAGGAGGGCCTGGATTTCCCACTACAGGACACCGTTGGGATGTCAGCCTGAACCAGGGAGAATCTTGCTCCGAGACAGGAAAGCACAGTGGCTAAGAGACTAGGGTCTCCACGGGAGCTGTGGAGTCCCCGTGCCCTGGCTGCACACAGACCTGTGGAATCAGGGCCTCTGGATGGTAGGGTCCAGGCATCCGTGTGTTATAAAGCTCTCTGGGTGGTTCTGAATCACTCCACTGAGCTGGGAGCTTGGCCTTTCCACCCAGACCGCCTGGGTTCAAACCCACTTCAGATGCCACTTCTAAACTGTGTGACCCTGGACCAATCATTTCCTGCTTGTGCCCGTTTCCTCATTCATAGAACAAGAATAATTCTAGACCACGGTGGTCAGAATGCAAAGGCACTGTGCACAAGGCCTGGGATATAATCTAAGCTGGACAAATGTGAATTGTGATGATGACAATGTTTGTAAATAATAGCCATTTAGAAAGGCGGAAAGGCAATACAAGCCAGAGGTCAGGACGGCAGGCTCTGGATTTCACTGCCTGGTGAGGCAGGGGCTGGGGTGGGGAGAGGGAGTGCTCGGAGGGGCAAAGAAGAAGCAGGTGCAAGAGAGTCCTGCAACCTTGGGCTGCCTGGGCCCGAATCTGGGCTCTGCACAGCACTGGCCATGGTGCCGTGGGCCAGAAATCCAAGGTCTCGTCTGCAAATGAAGCTAAAATTCACAGCCCCTTTGTGTGGGTACTGGGGGAAGTGACAGAACCCTTGTGGGGCTGGTGGTGAGGCTTCAATTGAAGTAATACATACCAGGAAGTCAGCAGAAAGCTGGACATGCATGGTTAAGTGATAAGCTGTTCACGGGATAGTGAGGGGGACAGGAATGCTGCTGCTGGGCAAAGAGATGTCCATTGCAAGGAAAAGCAGGGCATCACCCTCGCGGGGCTGCAGATGTGCTTCGAATGTTATGACAACTATGGCCCCTCTCCCCTCAAATCCTGAAACCTATATGGTTTTGCACATGGCTGCTGGAGGTCTCAAGGAGCACGTATGGAGGGAGGTAGACAGGAATGGCGGGGACCCTTAGCAAATTTGCTGCGAGGGCTCTTTGAGGGTGATCCTGGGCCCTAAGTCCCCCGAGCCTCAGGAAGCAGCAAATTTTCCAGAGGCCACTTTTAGCCAAACCATATCTTCTTGACCCCACTGCCCTGAGATGGCAGGGGTGGAAACTGTCCTTAAGTGACCCCAATCTCCAGATAATCAGGACTCACTCCCAGGCCCTTGGAGCAGAGAATCCATAGGATTGATGGTCCTAGCATTTCGTCTTTTATGAATCTGTCTTTTCTCATCCTCTGGACCTCAACTGTCCAATGTGGTAACCACAGGCCACATGCAGCTCTTTAAAGGTAAACTGATTAAAAAGAAATAAAATTTAAAAATTTAACTCTTCACTCACACTGGCCACGTTTCAACAGCTCCACTGGCCACATGTGGCTCCTTCACTGAACCGCACAGATGGAGAAGTTTTCTATCATCGCAGCACAGCCTTGCTCTAGAACAGGAGGCAGCAAACTATGGCCCTCATGCCAAGTCCAGGCTGTGGCCTGTGAGCTAAGAATGGCTTCTATCTTTTGAAAGGATAAAATGAAATAAAGCAGAATATGCAAGAGACATAAGGCCCTCAAAGCCCTGAAATATTTGTCATCTGGTCTTTCAAAGAACAGTTTTGCCAGACCCTCCTGCAAACCATGGACACTGTGAAAGTGAGGTCCCCATGGGATTTCCCTGTCCCATCCCACAGCTTGTAACAGGACTTCCTGCCTATCTGCTAACACTTGTGCAGAGATTGCTAAAGGTGGGGGGCTCACCCCCCACCCGAGGTATAGAGACAGTATGTGCTACATTCTCAAGAGCCCAACGAGCAAATATTCTTCATTAGGTGGCTGAAGACAAGCTGACCATCACCCACCTGAAGACATAAAAGGATGGACTAGAGGATGACAGGATCCAGGGGAACCACAAGATCAATGTAGATGGTTCTGGATTAAAACCACAGAATTAAATAACCATGCACAAGCCTGTTCAGCCATAAATGAATGAATGAGGAAATGTAGATCACAACCAGTATGAAGTATCATAACCTCATACCTGTTAGGATGACCACCATCAAAAAATAAGACAAGAGCTGGTGAGGATGGAAAAAGGGACCCCTCCTGCACTGTGGGTGGGGATGCTCAAGTCATGATCCTGGGGTCCTAGGATAGAGCTCATGTCGGGCTCCCTGCTCAGTGATGGGTCTGCTTCTACCTCTCTCTCTCCCCCCACTCATGCTCGCTCACGCGCTCTCTCTCTGTCAAATAAATACATAAAATCTTTTTTAAAAAGTTAAAAATAGAACTACCCTATGATCCAGCAATTCCACTGCTGGGTGTTTATTTGAAGGAAGTGAAAACATTAACTTGAAAAGATATCTGCACCCCTATGTTCACTGCAGCCTTATTTATAATAGCCAAGACACGGAAACAAGACATCTGTGGATGCATGAATGTATACAAAATGATGGTGTGTGTATGTGTGTGTGTGTGTGTGTGTTTGTGGGGGGAGAAAGTGTGACTTACACACACATACACACACACGTACCATGGCATAAATACACACAATATTCAGCCATAAAAAAGAGGAAAATCCTGCCATGTGTGACAACATGCACAGATCCTGAGGGTATTATGCTAAGTGAAATAAGTCAGACAGAGAAAGATAAATACTATATAATCCCATTTAATGGGAATGTTAATTTAAAAAAAAAAACCAAATTCATAGACAGAAAATAAATTGCTGGTTGCCAGAGGCAGGGGTTGGGGGTTGGCAAACAGGGTAAAGGGGTCAAAAGATACAAACTATAGATCCAACTATAAAATAAATAAGTCCCGGGGATGCCAGGTACAGCACAGTGACTCCAGTTACCAATACTATACCGTAGATTTGAAAGTTGCCAAGAGACTAGATCTTAAAAGTTATCACAAGGGAAAAAAATGTGTCATTATGTGTGGTGATGGATGTTAACTAAACTTCTTGTAGTCACCATTTTGCAATATATCATTGTATCAAGTCTCTGTACACCTGAAACTAACAATGTTATATGCCAATTATATCTCAAAAAAATAAGTTAATGAGTGATCAGATGAATAAATAAATTGGGAGAAAGGGACAACTCTTCCTTACAGGAGAATTCCAATCAATTAATCTGGAGGGAATGATGGAAATAGGAAATCACAATTAGATATATGCTATAACAATAATCTTTCCTCGCATGAGTCATTGATGGATGCTCAGGAATTGTGGGTAAAAGTATGATGAGAAACAAGATATTTACATAACATCAGGTGGTTCCCTGGAAGACACTTGTTAATGACAAAAGGAATAATGCTCTCTCCACACAGAAGGAAGCTGGCAGCTACCGTCTTTGCCAAGTGATCACAGTTCACACCCTTGGTAATGAGAGGCTGACGTCACATACCCCCGATCTGGTGCCCGAGGACAGTATTCTTGTCAAAAATGCCTAACTTCATTTTATCTAGGTGAAAACAGCCAACCCATCCACACTGAGGGCTATTCTACAGAATAATTGGCCAGTGCTCTTCACAAGTGTCAAGGTCATGACACCCAAGGAAAGCGCAAAGGATTCTCACAGGTTGGAGACGAAGGGCAAGCGACACTCTGGACTGGATCCTGGGCCAGAAAAGAACATGAGTGGGAAATTGATGAATTCAACAAAAGGTCTTTAACGGCATATGAACATCAATTCTCTGATTTCAATCATTGTGCTATGGTTACATAAGGTGCCAGGTGGATGGAGGGTATACAAGAAGAGCTCTAGGTGCTATTTTTATGACTTTTCTGTGTCTGAAATGATTTCAATATTGAAATCATGAAAAAGTATCTTTTCAAAAAAGATGTCCTGTCTTCTACCACCAGTCAGTGACTCTCATGCACACGTGGTCCAAATACTTCCCCCGAGCTGCACAGAGCTGGCCTGCCTCCCGCTTCCTGAATTTCATTCACAAGCTCCAGCTGCTTGTCCCGCCAGAAGCCCCAGAGAAAGAAGGCAGCATGGGGTGGGCCAGGCGACAGCGTCAGGATCAGTTCCCACTTGGGTTTAAGCTACAGCTCCCTACATGCTCCCCTGGCTGGCTTGATCAGTTCTCATGCACCTCCTCAGAGAAGCCCTCCCTGACCACCCAAGCCAATGTTCCTTTCTCCCCCACCATCCCTTTCTACCATATACCTATCTGGTCTCAGTTCCTTAGGAGCACTTGCGCTTCCTAAAATGTGTTTCATTTCCTGAAGGGCCCACCGGCTCTCTAAAGCGATCTTCCTCCCCTACCTGCTTACCTCCCCTACCCGTATTTCTCTCCACCGTGGTACTTCTGTGCCAGACACGAGGTCCTCCACTGCCCTGTCCATGGCCGTATCGTCAGCTCTTAGCCCAGGGTCAGGCCTGCAGTGGCTGCTCAGTGCACCCTACAAATGCTGGCTGGGGTGTCCCCTCCTCTCTTGTGGTTTTCGTTAGCCTTTGACCCACATCCTACCCAGTACAGGTTTTGGTGTGCCCGTGTGAATAGGACGAGGGGCTGATGGCTTACTCATAGAACTCTGCTGCTGGCGTGAACTTGTACTTGGAGTACTTGGTGTGATTGCCCAGCACGGAGCTATTGAGGAGTTTGGGATCCGTGCAGTTGGGGCTGTTCCAGGAATGGCCACAGTCAGTCCAGGGCAGTTTGAGGGTGAAGGAGGAGAAGAGGTAGTAGAGCGACCAGGCGATGATGACGTTGTAGTAGAAGCCAACATAGATGGCGATGAGGATCACAGCATAGCCAACTCCTGTGTGGGGGCAGAGAGGGGTCAGGCAGGGACTTCCCCAGGCCTAGTCCCAGAGCCATGTATCCCAGGGAGCCAGTTCCAACCACTGCACGACCAGACCCCTAGGCACCCTGTGTCAGATTGTCAGAGCCCACCTCTGTGCTCTGGGAACCCACCATCCCTTTGCCTGAGTGCTCTCTCTTGCCACTGGAGCCCCTCGGCCCACCTATCAGGCAGGCCAGAAGTGCAGGACCTTAATGCTCCCAGGGAGCAACCAGAGTGTAAGCACTAGAGTGTATGGAGACACTAGGGTGTAAGTATCCTAGGTCCCTGACCCCTTGGGCAGATAACAGTGAGGCACATTAATACTCTCTCCCAGTGGGATGAGCCCCTGGGCCCTGGTGGAACTGGCTCGGTGACATACCTTTTACTGGCTGACTCCCCTTCTCTGTCCCCTAACAGTGCTTCCTAGAATCACCTCCCAAAATAATTCCCTACACAAACCCTTGTCTCAGAACTGCCTACGGGGAACCCCAAACAAACTCCTTGATTAGTACTTCAGCCCTGTGTGCTCTCTGGGCCCTACTTTCAACCATCTGCTTTGTGCATATGCCAATCTCATCTTCCTAAATATACTGGAAGCTCCTCTTGGGCTAGCTCATTCTAGGCTTTTACCCATAGTAGACTTTTTTTTTTTTCTTTTTCACTGTGTAGCATTGCTTTAAGGGAGTAGCCTTAAGCATTCTTAGCTTGTGAGGTTAATCCCTTATCTCCTTGATTTAGCTGTAAGCACATGCCTCAGGCCTGGCCAGTCAGAGTTCTGCTTCCCCACAGCCACAAGGATCAGTTGATAGATGGGCATATGACTCAAGTAAAAACCAATGACTCTTCTCTGGGAACTTTAATGAGGACAGAAGGTATCATTGATTTATTTTGTCACTGTTAAAGTTGGTAGGAGTTCATCTTGTCATTGCTAATGGCCAGTTCTGCTAGCGCCTGAGTAGAATATGCTTGAGATGATGTTAACGCTGACTTCAGATGGAGAGAGGTGGAGAGTCCAGATATTATTCAAGGACCTGGATCAAGCTGCACCAGAAGCTGACCAGAAACTCTTGGACTTTACTGTATCATAAGCCAATCAATTCTCCTTTACATTAAAGCCACTTTGAGGGGGCTTTCTGGAAATTAAACTAAAAAACCCTAACCAGGGGAATCCCTGGGTGGCGCAGCGGTTTAGCGCCTGCCTTTGGCCCAGGGCACGATCCTGGAGACCCGGGATCGAATCCCACGTCGGGCTCCCAGTGCATGGAGCCTGCTTCTCCCTCTGCCTGTGTCTCTGCCTCTCTCTCTCTCTCTCTCTCTCTCTCTGTGTGTGTGTGTGTGTGACTATCATAAATAAATAACATTTAAAAAAAAAACCTAACTAATGCACTTTTAATAAGCCTCTTGTGCCAGCCCATGTCTACTACGGGACTGAGTACATAGAAGGTAGAGTCGGGAGACACGTGCCAGCTGAGAAGAGGTGCAGAGGAATCATAGTGGCCCTCTGTACCATCTGGGCCCGGTTTGCTAACCAGTGCTTGGGGGGCACTAAATCAGCCTCCATGCCCTTACAGATGTACAGGGGCCAAGAAATGGCAGCTGCTATGGCTACTTTCTACAGTTGTGCTCCTAGCCAAATGCAAGCAGGCCTCATCACCTATCCCAGATGTGATCAATCAGTCATGGCTGTTATATTAAGGATTGTGGGACAGGTTTCTAGCTAAGCCCAGAAAGGCCCATGATCAGTTTACCATGTCTGCCATGGGAGTGTGAGGGGAGGGTAGTTGTATGTGTGCTGGGTACTTCTGACATTTCTGTAAGTATTTCCTATACAGAAAACAGACACCCTCTGGTCATTCAGTGGTAGAGGCTGGACTGGTACCCAGATTTCTAGACTTTTTAGGCTAAGCCGCTCCTGACACACCAAATGCTCTCCATGTCACTCTGAACGGTTCTATGCTCTTGACCATGCCAATAGCTGTGAATCCCACAAGAGAGCTGGTCTACCTGAGATCCCACCTTTGGAACAGTTTCTCCAAGGAAATCTTTTGGACAACCTTTGACACCCAACCCCCCCACCCCACCCCCGCCCAGGACCCATTCTTTACCTTTGAAGAATGGACAGATCTTCCACACCGTGGCTGCCCCTTCTCGGTTGTATTGGCCCAGAGCCAGCTCCATGTAGAACAGGGGCATCCCAGCAATGATAAGGAACAGGGTGTACGGAATCAGAAAGGCACCTGGAAGGCACAGAGGTAGAGTGTGACTCCCTGGGGCCCTGCCCAGCCTTGTGCCCAGCCCCACACCCCCTGTAGAGTGTCTCTGGGTTCTCTTCACCTGCTCCCCAGCCACTTCCCATGGGGTGTTCTGTGGTAAATAAATAGAATTATGCAGCACAATGATTACAAATAATTGTCACAGTAGTAATCTTTGCTGTGGTACCAAATATAACCACCACCCATGCTATAATGAGGTTCTATAAAATGAGGTTCAGTAAAATCTGGCTCATCAAAGCTGAATGGGCTTATACCTTGCAGGATTCTTCTGGCCTTCGATACCTGAGCACACACTGTGAAGCACCACAAGGACGCTTACAGGTACAGTCGTCACCAAATTCATGTAACTGCAGAACCTTTTCTTTCATGAACCATCACTCTGGGGAATGCCAGTCACCCCAAACCCTCCCTGTATAGGTCAGAAAATCGAGATGAGAGCAGGAGAGACAGAGCCGAAAGTTATGTACGATTGAATTTCTAACTTTGCTTGTATTTGTCTCATTTTAATGTCACGCGGGGCTTCCCCAAACACGATCTCACTGGATTCTTAGTTTCACTAAGAGACATAACCAGACTGGGTCACTATGTGCCCCCCACACACACCCTCGCCACCTGGAGGAAAATGAGGGCAGAGAAGAGAGTTGAACTCTTGTGCTGCTGTTAAGTGACAGAAGCAAAATTCGCATTCAGGTCTTCCAACATGTCAGGCTCCCTGCCCTGCTACAGGCAGCCAAAGGTAAGTAAACCCGGGAACAAGTCTCTGACCAGGGAAGTCAGGGGGCCCTAGAGGAGGCCCCTGGCAACGGGCAGCGACTCATCCCCGAGAGAGTTCCTGGTGGGATGAGACATGGGTGAGTCGCAGAGATGAGTCTCCTTCTGCCCGGCAGCCCGGGTGAGCTTACCGGGCTCTGAAGCCGCAAGGTGACTCACCGGGATACGTGCCATGTCAGCCCCAGCTACAAGCGTGACCCAAACAAAATGCCAGCTCCTTTTCCTGACGCAGCTGGAGGTGGCCAGGCCAGATCCACACTCGTCCCACCTCTGGCCTTTGGCTGAGATGCCGTAACCTTGGAAACCAAACACTCTCTGGCCCACCCACACCAGCAAAGTGCAGAAAACTGGGAAATATTTCATAATGGTAGCATGAGGAGTGCAGCATCCTGTGCTTTGTTCCAGGCACTTTCCAGGCAAGGTCGCATTCCATCTTCACACCAGCTCTAAGATGCAGAGATGATGACCATCTCGATTTTATAGAGAATTACAGCAGAGTCACATGGCACCCGGCTACTCAGACTGTCAGTTCCAGTCTTCCCTCCCAGGGCTTCTCCTCAGGAAGCCGAGGGCTCTTAAGGACAAAGCATGAAGTGTTGGCCCCGGTGCTCAGAAACCCTCCCCCTTCTGTAGCAACAGATGGTGGGCACAGGAAAGTCCCAGAAAGTGAGTACCTACTATGTATCAAGTAGGCATTGGGCACTGGACATCTATGATCTCAGCTACCTTATCCAGAAACATCTGAGGAAGCACTTGCTAGCCAGTAATGGACTGGAGTTCGGGCCTAGGTCTGCCTGCCTCCAGAGCTCCAGAGCCATTCCCAACATATTTTGCAGATTCCAGAACATTCTGGCCTAAATAAAGGACATGAGTTGAATGGGGTCTTAGAGGGGAGGATATTTGGAAACTGAGGATCTGGAGCCAGCTTAGCCATCTAGTCTGTTGGTCCTACACTGGTCTGATACTCCATCCGCTGTTCCACACTGGACTACTTGGCAATGCCCACATGCACCCACCTTGCTCTTCCCCTCCTCATCTCCTGCTTTCAAACTCCAGCCCTGTCCCTCTCACACACAGAGAGGGCTGATCTGGCACCTGAATCCACATCTGTCCACGGTAGGACAGCATTCTGTGACGGTGCTGAGGCCGGTGATGCTGATGGAGGTCGCCGGTGATGGTGACATCAGTAAGCACCTGTTATGTGCCAAGCCACATGCTAACTATGCATCTAAAACCGTCCCTGAAAGATGATTACCACTGATTCGGTCAAGTGGCTTGTCCAGACTGGGATGTATGCAGCTGGGGGTCACACCTGGATCTCTTTGAGTCCCTCTCTGTCTGTGGCACTTGCTATGGCCCCCAGGAGATGGAGCCAAAGAGGGGTTGAGGCAGACGGTTGGCCCAAGTCCCCTTGCAGAATGATCTGGAGGAAGCTGGGGTAGAGCTGAAGGGCCGGTAAGGGATGTCGGGGGCAGCCAACCGAGGTCAGCTGAGGAGGCCTCTCTTAGAAACAGGCCAGCAGCAGGTCCTAGAAACTGAGGCCTGATTGCAAACTTTCTGGAAGCTAATGCCCTGCAAGGCCTATAGCCACCACATTCCCATGGCTGTATCTTCACGCATGACAGCCTTGCACCGGTCTGAGAGCTGAGAACCTCAGAGGCCACAGCCTGGGATCCCGTCTTGATTCTAGAATGCTCTGGTTGTGCAGGTGCTGGTGTGTAGACCTGGAGAAATGCCTCCAGGGCATACCTGCCGAGCCTTCAGCACATATGCATGAACATAGATGCACACTCGTGCACACTCATGGTCCTTCTGCACCTTGACACTCACAAACACACGAGGAAAAGAACTACCAGCTGTGAAAGGGGCTCTGATAAATGGCTTCTGGATGAATTTTGTAAGGAAAGCATCTGTCCCATCGCCTCTAGCCTGGTGCACTCTGTCTGACAATCCCATTACTACGGAGTGACCCTACTGGTCACCGAGGGGTTCTGGAGTCTTCTGTGCAAAAGCCAAGTCCTCAGGAAGGGAAGCCCAGTGCTCACTAAGTTCTGAGTGGGATGCACCAGGGCAGATGTGGAGCTCAGGAAAGGGGAGTGAATGCCTAGAGGGGACTCGGCTAGTGGCGGTGGGGCCCTGGGGATTTGGGGTGAGGTGGAGAGAGTATGATCAGGAGCAGGCTGCAAGAAGGCAAAGAGGGTCCCCTGAGGCTTAGTGGAACCCGCTTCCCAGTCTGCTGGGGCTCAGATTCCTCAAACTGTGCCTTGTGGCCACACCCTGATATACCAACAAGGGAAAACCCACAGAGCTGTTTCCTTGGCGCCTGTAGCTCAGCTATGGATGGTCACTGCCTACAGCTTTCACCAGATTTCCATGAAAATCTTGGCCAATGCCAAGGGTAGCCAGATTTGTGCCCCTTCTCCGAACACTCCAAAGGCAGAGCACATGTAAGGGTGCCAGAGAGGGTGAGCTTCCTTTGGAGACAGCGCTGCTCCCAGCAGGTGCAAGCCTGGGGCCGGGGCAAGAGTACGGGGCAAGAGTATGCCGTATGTGGCCACCTTTTTCAATAAATCAGCCATACCTTTTAAATCACACGTGCCTTATCTTCTTACCTCGACAACTAAACCTTCATGACGGTTCTGTTACAAGCTTCAATTCTGGAACCCTCCTCTCCTATAGCTTTGCACCACAATGTGGTAGCATAGGGGGAGCCCCACTTACCCTGTGTACTTCCTCCCCACCACAGGGCTGTCCAGCGGCATGCAAGGCCTTTTGCACACACGTGTGGAGTCTCGCACCCGCATGTCTCCACACCCCTGCAGACAACGGGCCCTTGGCCTCCCCTGGATCCAGGGCCTGCATACCTGCAGCACAATCCATATGGCAGAATAAATGAGGTGAGCGGCCCATGCAGACCCAGAAGGGGGTTGTGGTGTTCGCACAGGGAATTCCAGGGCCCCGGTGCCTGGAGTGGTGTGGGGGAGGCAGTGTTCTGGGTGGCCAGGCCCTCTTGGCCCTGGCGTTGGTGAGAAGGGCAGGAGGGCAGAAACAGGCCCTCTAAAGCACGACCCAGAGCAGACCCACCCAGTGACATTAATATGATATATAGATATCTGGTCTCTGCTCTGGGTTCCTGCCCCAGAGCTCTTAAAAATCCTTATAATTTTCCAAGTGAGAGTGATACGAGTGTCCTACGCAGAGCTCCTGGGATTTTCTAGGTGCTAGGAGTGTCTTTTGTTCTAATGAGGCAATTCTTAGCGAGCTCCTGGGTGGGGACTGGTCACCAGAAAGGTCAGGCCTTGATTAGAAGCTTGGAACTTTCAGGCCCAGCCTCCCACCTCCGGGAAAGAAAGAGGGGCTAGAGATGAAGCTAATATCGAGTACACCCACGTGACGAAGCTTCCAGAAAGATCTCTGAACTACAGAATTTGGAACACTTCTAGGTTGGTGAACACATTCACGTTCCAGGAGGATGGCACAGCCCACAAGGGCAGAGACACCCCCCCCCACATGGGACTCCTCCAGACCTCGCCCCATGACCTCCTCATCTGGCTGCCCATCAGTATCCTTCATCGTACCCTTCATGACAGACTGGAAAATGTAAGTAAGCGCTTCCCTGAGTTCTTGGAGCTGCTATAGCCAATTTCTGAACCTGACGAGGGGATCATGGAAACCCCTGGTTTATAGCCAGTTGGTCAGAAACACAGGTGACAGCTGGAGACCTGTGACGAGCATCTGAGGTGGGGGGCAATCTTTGGAAACTGAGCCCTTAACCTGTGGGGCCTGCCAAATCCAGGTCACAGGGGTCAGGACTGAATTGTAGGACACCTGGCTGGGGCCTGGAGAGTTGGTCAGTGTGGGGAAGTACGGGTGACAGCCTCTGCATCCTGGTGTGCTGTGATAACTGAGGGGCTTCTGGGCAGCCCATGACTGGAAAGGGCTCCCACAGTGCTGTCCAGAGCCCCTCAGGAATGACGGACCTGCTTCCCCGCAGCTGGCACTGCTCTGTCCTCAGCTGTCACAGGCCCTTGGCAAGTGCCTCTGGTGAAGAGAGCCACCTCACCCAAGGCCACAGCCCCTTCCCCAGGCAGCTGGTATCCACTGATCTGTTGACTACGGGACATAGTCTCGGCCTCCTCACCTCAACCTGGGACAAGTGTGTGGGGCCATCCCAGTTTCAGAGGTCCCCATGG